GTAATAATTGAATAAAAATAAACGCAACTATAATTCAGAAATACATTGTTCAAATACATACATTTAGTCTTCTTTTAAAGTATTAATGTCAAATAAAATAAAATTTTATTTTTTAATACAACAAAGTGCACAATCTCGGTGCATTCCGTTCCGTGGCTGAAACTTCCCGGCAATCTTTAGCTCTTAATTAGCCCCCATCGTAATCTCTCTCATTTATAATGATTTTTATTTTACCCTATTAATTTTTATGCCGCATTTTTTCATTGATTCACCTAGAAACTTTTTACTCGGAGGAAAAAGATTTTCGATATCCTCTCAGTTTTGAACGTGTCGTGGAGCACGTCTTCGAGGAATCCTCTCGAAGATATCTCCCGATCGCGTTTTCCAAATAAAAACGCGCCGTTCCATCGTTCTCCGATGACGTACGGCGGGTTATTATTTACACATGTGTCAGTCGTCGACTCCAGGTCTCCGCGATGCGTATGACGTGCGCACTTACATATTCGATTCCTTCAAAGAACCTGCGAACGGCGGTAAATCACCGTTTCAGACATAACGTTCACGAAGAAATAAATAAGCTCCATTATTAATATCCACCTTTTTTTGCGACGGTTAGTCCCTTGAAAGCGATTCACCGTACCTCTCCCTTTCCGCACGTACGCACCCCAAACACTATTTGAGAATCCGCAAATAAGCTGTTGGGGCCACGCGAAAGTATATCCTTCTGCCTTGGATGTTCTTCATAAATCACTGATCGGCGCGATTCCGATGATGGATGATGGATATAATGCGGTTAGGCTATAACGGCGAAAATAATAATAATAAATCGAGATTAGAATATTCCGCTCGGTGGCGTGTAAATTGAGGGGAGATAAGACTCATTAGCAAAATTCAACGTATTTCACGTCAGCGATACGCGACCGACCGACAATCGTAATTGCTCGTAATTTTTATCACGATGCGCGCGTCTATCGTCTCTCCCGTCGTTTCTTACTCCTCGGGAATCTCGTATGCGGTAGGCGTTATCGAGGCAGCGAATTATTCGCATACTCTCGTTCATAAACGCTGATGGTTACGCGCGGTTTGCAAAATCGCAGACATTTCATGCGAGATGAGTCTCGTTAACCCTTCGGAATCTCGCCTGCGGTAGCCAGTGTCAAGTAGCGCATTTTTCGCATATTCCTGTTCATAAACAATAAAATTTACATGAAGTTTATATACGCATAAGTCTTATTTGCGTTTTCATACAGATTGAACAACGATCGTGCAAGACGAACCCAATTGAAATTCGTTAAAGAAATTTGTAAAAGATCAACTAGCAAAGCGATGTAAATGAGCCCATCAAGTAAAATACTAATAAGTATATAATCTTCAAAATTCTCAGACAACTAAATAGGTAAGATCCTACGAAATATGTAAATGGGTCGATCCTAATTATGAATGTAAGACATATCGATATTTTTTTCATACTTTATTCTCAACGCTTGAATATAATAAACTCGATGATAGGCGACCGAGATATGACTCCGTCGGCGGCGACTCCTGACACGCAGGAATGTGACAAATGCAACGTGCGACGGGTTACCGCTTCGTTCGTTGCTCGCTCAGCTGTTGCTGCGGCCTTAAGAACCGAAATAATCCCAACCTGGCAGCGCGAGTAGGTGGGCGGTCTACTATCTGCATTCGTATGCGGAAAACTGTACCGAAATAAATCGCCGTTGTTAAAGTGATTCCTCTGTTGCCGCCGGCACCTATACTTGAACTGCGAAAAATGCAATTCGATACCGAGGGAGAGAGAGAGAGAAAGAGAATTTGTGAAAGACGAAGAAGCACATGAGGCGTGCGCGCATTGTCCGACTCGTCACACCTTATGCATGCGCGGCACAAATAAATGATTAATAGAGTACGATTGTTTCTCAATGCTCAATGACGTTATATATGATAATACCGAGAAACGCTGATAAACTTTGATCTGCGGATTCTCCGATTAATTTGCAGTCCGGATTTTTCTTAGCGAATGCTCGATTATACGTGTCTTGCTCCTCTTTTTTTTTAAACCTCATTGGTCGAAATTAGATAATTTGTTGACTGTGAATCCCCCGATTCACAAAATTCCGCTAAACTCACACTCGAAGCGAGATAAGAACAAGATTGCATTATCTATTATAGCGTACGCCATATGGAACTTTCCGATAGGAATGTTACGAATTTAATCGCTACAACAGCAATTAGAAAGATCGACCATGTTTACGAATGAAGAGCCCAATCGCTGTCCCCCCTTGAGGTCGGCCTAAGAATGATAATTTCCGAGTAACCCCCCCCCCTCCCCCCTCGATCGGGATCTTCGTTCGTGCGATCTCGAGTCTTCCATGTGTTCGAATGACGGACGGCGCGTGAGAATTCGAACCGGCTGGTCGATGTTCCGACGGTGGTGGTGCTCGTGGCACAATGGGGCTCTCGCGCGAATCTCATCTCGAGCGATATATAGCTGTGACGAGACAGGACCCAGCCAGGCCAGAGCAGGCCAGAGGCAGACAAACCAGACGGACAAAACCGGCCGTCCTTCCGTGCGCTCAGTGAAATTTAAATGAGCGGCTCCCGATTTGCGCCCGCTCTCGCGCTGCCCCGCGCCGCGCCGCGCCGCTGCCTCCCTTCACAAAACTTTCATATCGCATTCTCGCGCGCGATTCGACCTTTCGTTTAAGAGAGACGACAACGACAACGGCATATCCATCCCGTCGGACGAAAGGGGAGGGAGAGATACTCTCGCGCGGAGCCCCTATGGCCTCGATACGCGAATGCCCGTGAGAGAAGGCGCCCGTCCTTCCCTCCTTTTCGCCGCTCCTCAAGTATAAAGTATTACGTACGCTGGCATCGCGCGTGTTGTCTCGTCATCGTCGTCATCATCATCATCATCCACGTTTCGCCCATGCTCTCGTCGGTCTTCTCGGCCACGTGGTCTAAGAACATTGTATATCGATTTGTCCTGTCATGTCATTTCGCTTGCCGTTCCCCAAACCTGAATTGCGATGACGTACGTCCCGGTATGGCACTCGCAATTTGCGTTGCGTTGCGTTGCGTTGCACCGCTGTGTAGGAACCATGAGGGGGGAAAAAAAGGAAAGGATTCCGCGTGCGTAATACGTAGAGAAAGGGAGGAGAGTAGAATGACGCAGGGTGAGGGAGGAGCGAGAGAAACGACGACGGGAGTCAGGGGGGCGGTATACGCAAAGTTGCGAAATGGCCAGTCGCGCTCGATTGCCTCTCGATAAAATTGATTTGCGAAAAAAAGGTCGCGCCAAGTAGCCTCGCTCGTATATTTGCGTCAATCGCGGCCGATTCTTCGGCGACGCTCCGGCGTTGAAACTCGAAATTTATTTCCAATTAATTCGCTAAACAATCGGCTTTAGAAGGAACTTGAGATGACGCGCGGAATTATCAGAAGCCTGTATGGGATTTTCTCCGCTCAACTATACTATCGAGATAGCGTTAACTTTGTTAGCAGGGAGAACATTATTTCCAGGTCATCGTGTATCCTGCGTCCTGTTAAAAAAACGAGAAATTTATATATATTTTTTATTATTGTATGTTATTGTATGTTATTTTAATTATTATCAAACGCGTACGTGTGTATTCGATATGCAAAATGCTACAAATTTTCTGTCGTTTTTCTTTCTATAAAAATCACTTTGTTGCGTGCGTTGAGATTGGTTCATGAATAAATCAGGTAATTACAGAGAGCATAGATGAAAAATGTATTCCGCAAAAAATAAAGCGCCAGCAAAGTGTTGCTGCTATATGAAATCTATCTGTGATAAAAACAAAATGATTAAGAGCACAAGGTAGGACAGATCGTACAGCAAAAGCGTGGTGAACAGCACAAAAAAAACAAGGAAAAAAAACAGAACAGAACGCGAACGGAAGTGAAATAGAAACGAATACATGTACAAACTTACGTAAGAATACATGTACAATACTGATTGAGTCTGTAAAAATGACGCAATAACGTCCCAAAAGGGGGAATTAAAATCACAATTGGCCTTACTCTCTCGCCGGCCTGAAAGTTAGACTCGTTACGTGCCCTTTGCACACACACACACACGCGCGGCACTTATATCGATCGCTCGAATTCCTTCTAATCTGACGGCGTCATCGGAAATGTCACCGTCGTGCCTACCGGCGACAATCCGATTAGGATCTATTTACTTCTGGACGCGCCGCTCTCCGCTCTCGCTCCGGTATTATCCTCTCCGGTCTAATTCGACGTCGGCGATTGCTCCGTCGTACGGTAATCGGCGGTCGTCTCGGGGACAGCTACCCGAGAGCGATTACGCGAATTACGCGCTAATTCCGCAAACGACGACACGCTTCGCGCTCCCATCGCCGCAACGTTCTCGTTTCGCAACGCCGCGCGCCGCGCCGATCGGGGATCGATTTCGTGCCCGATGCACATGCGGCGAGCGAGAGAGGAGCGCGGAGACGAGCCGAGGCTTGTCGCATGATATAAGCATTATAAACGACGTTATCGCGAATATATTATACTCGACGAGAAACCGACGCGCTCTCTCGGTCCATATGATTCAATATAAAACGCATAAATGTCATCAATTCACTTACGCGGCAAGTAAACAAATCGGACCCTCGTCATTTTTACTGTCCGCTCGCGTTAATATTTAGAAGCTTGCATCACTATGTTCTTTATTTAAATTTACATTAGCATTTAAGTGTACTGCGGCATAAATGTACTTTATTCATTCGAATATATGTAAAAAAAATGCCCAACGTCTATGTGTTTTATGTAATTTAACGGTTCGAGGAGAATTAAAGTTAGAAACACGCGTTATTGAAAGGCACGTTATTGTTTCGTAAAAAAAAAAAA